GTTCTAATGAAATTGAAGATACACTTCGTGCACTTAAGGATCCTCACATTCAAACAAACTTAGGCATTCTACAACTACAACCATGACTTTAGTATTAATTGTATTCACTAAGACACGCCTCCTATTCAAGTCCTAGGCATTCTACAACTAGATTACAGTGATATGAGATAGCTTCTCTTTCTCTTCGTTTTTGTTTTTCCCTCTTCTCTAGTTTTCATGATGTACCAAAAAAATATACATTATTATGTATAATAGAATTACCCAATTTATTTTAATCTTTTAGGAGGAAAACCCATAGACCCAACAAAATAGTTCCTTACCATGTGAAGAATACTCTTGAATAAAATTAAAGAATAAAAATTAACCGTTATAATTGAAAAATACAATTAAGTGATAAACAAAAAAATAGAACACAATTTGACATGTCTTTTTTTATATTAATTATATTTTTAGATTATGACTATAATTTTGTGAAATTAAATTGTTTGAGATTGAAAACTAAAAACAAATCAACTCATAAAACTTACATGTTTTTTTCTTAGAGTAAGCTTGTTAGAAAAGCAATTTCAAGCAAACATACATTTACAAAGAGTATAGTCTGTAAATATATAAATTTTTGAAACAAAAATCATTGATTTTGTACAAGGAAGAGAATATATTTGATGTATGTAGTATACAGATCCTTCGTAATCAATAATATATTTTATTACAAGATGACTCAACATAAGTTGAAGTGTACTAGAGAGTGCTATCTTCTACTCCTTGTTCAAAAAAAGAGCAATCATTATTTTCAATGAAATGTTGTGACCTGCATTACAGCACAAAAGATTAATATCCATGTGATCTATGATTAGAGTTTTGAGGGCTCTCAAGCCTTTCTCTTCCAACTATTACCCTCCAAAAATCACATGGAATGGGTTAGGAATTAAACACAGGTCTATGAACTTGAAGTAAATGTTTAGTTTGGGAAAAAGTGATAAGTTGAGAATAACAGAGTTGATATGGTATGACAGGCCATGAATCATGAATATGAAGGGAAGGAGAAAAGGAGAAATTAGAAGAATTACCAACTATCTGCATGATTGATACCAAGTCCATTGCAGGTAAGAATCATGCCTTTAAATCTGGCAAGATATTCCTGCGTAACAATTAGACATGACCACCAAAGGAAAGTAATGTCATGTTATAATCTTTTTTCCAGTGAAATCTAATCAAATAAAACTTATGTTAAATGATATACCTGCAAACTATACTTGTCAATCTCACAGGTTCCAGTTAAATCGTAGTCAAGACGTTTGGCAGGGTCACTCAAAACTGAGACATAAAATAGAAAGAACGATAAAATCCACCATTATTGCTGTATCTCAGATCATAACAATTCAAATAATGTTGTTATGCTAAAAAAATAAAAATAGTTGTGCTAATTTACATATATGCATTTTCAACATCATTATCATGTCTTTATATTAAACACAGGGAATATATGACATGCTATGCCAGTTGGCTATTTTTTCAAGTTTGTGTCAGGTTTGGGTTTTGTTACAATCATATGTATGAAGGACCCATCCCATGTTCTTCAAAACTATGCAACTTGAAAGCCAGACAACAAAGTTTAACTTCGAATACAAACACATGAGGGACCACAATCTTTGTGCTAAAAATTATTTGTCCATTATAATCAACAATTCATACATTGTGAATAAGTTGAATATAGAAAAGATCAATTTCGCAGAACTGTAAATGTTAAGGGTGACCACAAAAGAAAGAAGAATGAATGCCTGTTAAACAACATGCTTTACAAGTAAAGAGTAAAAGTGATGTTTTTTATTAACATTACAAGAAAGAAAGAAAGAAAGAATTACCGGTGTAAGCTTCATTTATCTGTTGGAATTTTGTAGTAGCAGCAGTGTGACCGTTGTGCTTGTCAGGATGCCATTTCTATGAAATGGAGAATCATGCAGACATAGTAAGTCAAAGTTGTAGAAGGATAACAAATTCAGAATGACAAATTGTGGATACTGAGAAAGGGTAAATTACCAACCAATGCGAGTCTTCGGTAATTAAATTTTATGTTTTCATCAGTTGCATCATAATCAACCTCCAACAGTTTGTAATAATCCTTGAATCAAACAAAAAGTGCAAGTGCCCCATCAATAACACATTAAGCTAACTACATATAAATAGAGTCAAATTCAGTTTTCAGCTATTAAGTCATTTAATAAATTTCGGCTTTTGTCTTAAAGATCTACTAGTACAATTCAATCAGCTTTTGGCAAATAGAGCCTCCCACAACAAACCTAGCCTAGGTACACTGATTAAGGAAACACAGACATATGGGACCTAAAATGAGGCATTTCAGCTGCTACAAGTCCTTTCATTCATCCTATAAAAACTGGAATTAGTTATTTACATCCTCTCAACTCCATACCCATCACTTTCTTTATAACTGATCCCACTTCTTTCATCCAAGACTCTCACTTCCTAGTAGTTCAAAAAGAAAATATATGTGTGCGTGTCTATGCAATCAAATAAAAAAAATGGGAGGAGGAAAAAAGAGGAAGGAGAAAATGAAAAAATGAGATTGGAATGAATGAAATACCTTAGGGGGGTTGGGGTTTGTGTGGTCAATGGGAGCCATGAGATACAGAAATAATGAACATAATTTCTTTTACATAATAGTAACAACAATTATTCATCGGAATCAGATACAAACCTCCGATACCAAAATTAAAAAAACTTATGAAATCAAAGCGTAAAGAGGAATGGGGATTTGTGTGGTTCAATTATGATTTCTGAGTATTGGATGCGGTGATCTTATCTCTCCAGCAAATGACCTTTATCCTCTTCTATTCCCCCAACATCTTCTATTATGTATCAAATTTTATATCACTTTGTCCATTGCTTGAAATATATATATTAAAGTTAAAAAATTATAAATTAATTATTTTCTCACTAATAAGTGGTGGTTTATAGAGAAACACACTTTTATAAGAAGATGTCACACCATAAAACACACCCCAAAAAAAATTCTCATATCCCAAGATATGAAATAACTATCTTATAGTGTAATTTATAATTTCCTATTCTGCCCTTACACTTTTTTAATTTCTAAAAAAATCATATAATATTAGGTAACTACGATTAGCACATTAAACATTTATCTTACATTAAATTGAACATTATAATAAATACATTTTTTTAACATAAAATATTTCTAATACAAAAATATTCTAATTGTATAAATAAAATATATATAAATTAAATACTTAATATAAAATAAAATAAAATATTCCTAATACGAAGTGTCTGACAACACACTAGTAATATATAAAGCTAAAACATAAAATAACTATTTGCTTTATATTGTCTATTTTGTCCTTCTAATAAATTATTATTACAATGTTTTCTTAAGACATATTAATGGAACTTAGAGGAAATTATATACACAAAAAATATGAAATTACATATGCAAGTTTCAATGTAAGTTTTATTAATACTACAATTCATTTTCATATTTTTATATTACATAAATTATGATATCATGTACATTCAATATAAAAAAATATGATATAATTTTCTAAAATGAAATATGTAAAAATTAAATATTCAATAATAGAAAATAAGAATGCGGGTCGACAAACACGAAATGTCTAAACACACTATTTAAAGTCATTACATCATCCACAATTTATTTGTGTTACTTTAGTTAAAAATCAATAATCATTAAACTATTTATTTATTTATATATATATATATATGTTAGTCTATACATTTTTTAATTGTGCATTAACTTATTAACAACTAAATTTGCCTTACAAATAATGTAGTTTTTAATAAATAATTTCTGTTTTATTATATATATATATTAATATACATGCATTTTTAGTTTTACAAATTAGTATAACACCAACTGTCATTTAATATTATATTAAATTGAACATTATACTAAATATAAAATAATATAATATAAAGTACACCAAATATAAAAATTAAATTATAATTCTGAAATAAAATATATAAAGATTAAATACTTAATAATATAGAATATGGTACAATGAACACAAAATGTTTATCGACATACTAGTAATACAGTATTAATTTCTATATATAAAGTTGTTTTTAGGATTATAATAGTGTATTATTTCTGCTTAACAGTATTGTAAGAATTGGTGGAAGATGGATAATGTGGTAAGTCTCAATTTATTTCATTGTATTTGTGGGTTCAAATAAAAAATGGAAGTGAATGTTGGAAGTGAAAGCAGAACCGACCATTGTATTTGTGAAGGCAGTGTTGTGAGGATTGCGTGCCTCATATGCTGTATAATGGGTTATTCTAACACGGAAATGTGAAGAACTTGATAATAATAACCAATTCCTGCCACCGAGACATTGTGAAAGGAGACCTCACCATCATCATCATCATCATATCATCATTCCACTACTGCTATTGTATTTTCTCCATTCTGGTACTACTCCTATCATCATCCTTCTTGTTCAATTACTTATTGATTTGTTATTTGTTTCTCATACTTCATTTCATTCAATAAATATACAGTATATGTACTTGCTCGCTATTACTTTAAATTCAATTTATACAGTATGAACTCAAGTTCGTTTGTGGTACAGTTGCAAAATGTGGTGTTCGGTGGACTTGGATTGGCCTGTTCCAGACTTGATGAAAAGTTGATTCTTACATTCCTTCAATTAATTAACAGCTAATGAACAAGGATTAAATTTATAATCAAAGTTAATTTAACAAAACTCTTGGAACAAGTCAATAACATCGTTATCAACAGCAAACAGAAATTAAGAAGGGAAAAATGAGGGAACCATCAGAAACCAGAATTTTATCCACAAATGCTGCAATAGCTTTACAGTCCGCATCATGGTTGAGTTTAAAACTCCCATCACTTGACTCCTCGTTTATATCATATTCTCATCCGCATACAAATATAATTTCACAAAACTTGTATTAAAATTTAATTAAAAAACACCATAAAGGGCTCAGATAAATGGGTATGAGAAAATTATCAGCATTGAAAATCAGAGTGGTGCATGACTATCTCTATGACTCGTCACAGCCCGTAAAGACAAGGATTAAACAATTTGAATTACATTAATTTTTAAAAAATATAGGAACATCTGAATGCATTAGGCTAAGTAGACTAATGCCAGAATCTCAGGTCCAGATCCTTATCGGCAACGTACAGCACTGAAATCACTATCAAATAAGTGAATCAGAGACTCTAAATTGTTGCCTTTCCTCTTACAAACAAATATTAATCGATACATCGAATAAAAAAATTAAGAGTAGGTAAACCTAATAATAAAGAATTAGCGTATAAGCATAAGAGGAATTGTTAAAAACCTTAGCCTCAAATGATACAACAAAGTAGTAATACAAGAAAACATAAAAGAATTAAAAAGGGTTCAAATCGAAGGAGAGAAGATTGAAGAGAATAGGAGGAGGCAGCGCATCTTAAATACTAAAAAATGAAACCCTAATCTCGTTGGTACGCTTCCTTCTTATGACCAACACTTCTCTGCTTAGTCAAAGCCCAAATTTCTTGAAAGCCCAAAACTACTCCCAACCACGATTTTGTTGACTCATACAATTATTAATTATATATTATTTTTTACAATTATTCCATTTGTTTAAGCGATATTTGTTTTAGTATAGTAACGCACTCCAAAAAAATATTATTTCTTAAGTAAAAACAACGCTATATTAATAATATACAAACAAAAAGCTAATCATTATATAGCAAAAGAAAATACTGAGTAAGAAAGATTAATATGAGCATTCACTAAGAGAAATTCTATGAGAATCTAAATACTTTTTTTGGGATTGTTAATGAAAATTTTAATGATTATCTTAGAACAACTCAGGACAAATATTAACGGGGCGCTAAATTTAATTACCTGCTCTTAGATAAATTATGCATTTGATTGGACTAAAAATTATGATAATGACTTTTGCTTTTCAAAATAATAATTGTTGTCTACTTTAATGACACAGAAGAATATGCATCCAATGTAGGATGCAACAGGTATGGGTAATGCATTCTTAAATTGATACTATTTAGGAGTATTTATATGGAAAATAATATATTTTTATATTAAATCAATCTACTTATTTTTATACGAAATTTTAATTTTATATTTTTTATAATAATCAATAGATAAAAATAATTATTATATAAACAATATGATAATGATTTGATAAATTTATGATTATAGTCAAATGAATAAAAATTATCATGAAATAATAATAAAGTTATAACAATATGATAGTGATCCCATTCCGTTGTTCTTGGGGTCGAGAACAAAGTTATAACAATATTCTTGTTTTTTGGCCTCTTTATTTACACTCAGCCATTTTCATTTATCACTTTATCTCTTTTTATTTTACCTTGTGTGAAGGGTCTCTCTTTAACCACACTTCCTGACCATCACTCTTCTCTTCCATTCTATGATTCTATCAACCATCTTCCAGGTTGGTTCTCACTTCTTTCTTTCTTTTCTTCTCTTCCTTATCATCTTTTATTTAAAGAACCATATATACACTTCATGATTATTCTTTTTCCTCAATACAAACATCTACTTAATATTTCATTATTATTTATTATAGGTTGTTTATTTAGTTCCATTGATTTAGCTTTGAAAATGAAAGCACGGAGTAATGAGGCAAATAATAATAATAATAATAATTGGGTTATTGTTGCTGCTGGTGCCTTGTTGAGTACATTATCTATTCGCTTCGGTTACAAGTTGAAGCAGGCACTTGACACTAACCTAAATCATTCAAACCCTAACCACGACGCAACTATTCTTCACAAAGGTTCTTTTCTTCTTCTTCCTTTCTTTATCCCAAAAACTTCTTTCATTTTATACTATTATCGTGGATTCTTTAAATGTTTTCTAACTTCAGGAAATGGAAAATCCCCCAACTCAACCAAATCAGCAGATTCCTTCATTAAGTCTCATGGATATTCCCTAACACAGGACAATCATGGCTGCTTCACTTGCATATCAGGTTCAATTTCTGCTTCTGACATCTTTTTCATTTCCTTACTGTTACTCACTACTTCAACTATGTTTTCTTCACTTTTCCTTGTTGTAAATGAATATAATGTTGTCTTCTAGTTATACACTGTTATGTAAGCTTTTTGTCATTTCCTAAAACATGAAGGTACGTCATTGCTTTCAACTCACTTATTTGCCTACTAGCCCTGTCTCTTAAGCTTCTTTCTATATCATAGTTTTCTTTCTTCTATATTGAGTTTTACTGGAGCCTTGTTCAAATTATCCATGTCCCCAATAGGTTATAAAGTTCGTCAAACATCTCTTTATTCTTATTGTCTCTTTCTTTTATTTTATCTTCATCTTCTTTCTCTATTATCTATTTCTGTTGCCAGTTATAGATCATGATTACTCCTCTCAATTATCACTGATTACAAAATGAGCTACTGTTAATAATTTTCAGTAATTCCAACCACACAATGTTAGACATAGGAAGTGACGTGTACTTACCTGTACTCATGAGTTTGGGTGGGACTGGGCACAAGGAAATGTTCTAATCAGGATGATGAACTAAGACATTCTGAATCAAATCCTTTATCTGAGCTCAGCAATCTATGTCACTTGATATTTGATCTTGTTATGGTTGTTGTAGAGTAATTGCATTCATGGAGATAAAACTCTCAGTTGTTAGAGCTGATGTAATATCTTCTGATTACCAGCAAAGAGATGCAAACTATACTGGTACCTCAGACACTTAAAGTAAAGATGGATTAGATTGTTCTTAAATGTGAATGAGTTGATAGTCTGCTTTTTGATAAAATCTTGGCAACTTTATGAATCATTCACCAAATAATTGATAATTCTCTTTTATCTGGAAAAAAACATTACGTGATTGTAGTTGTGAATCTGAGTCTGCATTTTCAGTAAAAATATAATTAGCCTGACTTTTATGTATGCATATGGTGATGTTTTGGACAGGAACCGGGAATACTGTTGAACTGAAGTGCTCATCCAACGGCCAGTTGGTAAGTGAATCTGATGGGGGCCTCCCTTTAGTGACTGTTGCTACTGCTGAATTTAACAAGGAAAATGGTGTTATCTGGGCATCCTCTCCTGATCGTCTGGAACTGCCTTCAAAACCATACCAATCAAATTGCTCAGATTCACCCTGTGTGTCAGAATCTGGTTCTGATATTTTTAGTAAGCGGGAAGTCATACAGAAACTGCGGCAACAATTGAAGAGAAGAGATGATATGATACTGGAGATGCAAGACCAAATAGCTGAATTGCAAAGTTCACTCAATGCACAACTCGGTCTTTCATCTCATCTGCAATTGCAGCTTGATGCTGCAAACATGGACTTATTTGACTCAGAGAGAGAGATACAGCGTCTGAGGAAAGTAGTTGCAGATCACTGTGTCGGACAATTTCAGCACGGCAAATCTTCCATGGTCACAGCTTGGCCTTCTGAGACTAGAAATGGGCATCTAGAGGGGGAGACTAATTTGGAGCCCCCTGAAAAGATAAAAGATAATGATGAGAGAATTGAGATGCTGAGAAAGCAAGTAGGAGAGTTGAAAGAGGTAATAGAAGGAAAAGAATACTTGCTCCAGAACTACAAGGAGCAAAAGGCAGAACTCACTCTGAAGATGAGGGAAATGCAGCAGAGATTGGATTCTCAGCTGCCTAATATTTTGTAGAAACTATGTGAATTCTTTGCTTCTTTACGTTTTGACAAATCTTCAATGTCTTCCTCATTCTTAATTTTGTCACTGTAATTATCTTCCCTTGATTGGTTGCCAATATATCTGAGTTTGTGCGATATGTGCTAGTGAGGAATGAAGTAGAGGGGTAGCTAATACTTTCTTCTTCTTCTTCTTCTTCTTTTCTCTTTTTTTGTTACAAAAGTTTTGTATGCTTAGAATGACAAATGATGCAGTTCAGTCTTGGAAAATATTACTTAGAAAATGGTAAAATGACCTACTTTGCTTATTGTTTCTTTCAAAACTACATTTTTTTGGAACGTAGAGAAAGTGCCTTTGGTTGCATTTAGGTATTCCAGCTCCAAGGAACCCGTGGATATATGTGTGTGTGTGGATATAACAGCATTTTAATTTGGACGACTCCCACGTAGAAATCAAATTGGCATGATACATCAAACTCACAGTAATGATAACTAGTTCTATTGCAAGTGCATACTATCTATCGTGTAAATTTTTATGAAAGTGATGATAACATAGCTGATAATGATAACAAATTTGTGATGCACATAATGCATATTTGGAAAGGATATAATACTTGAGATCCAGAATGCAGTTGAATTGTAGTTCCACACTCTAGCACCTCAGAGGTCGATCTACAAGTCTTGCAGTGCCTTCTAGAAAGTAAATACTAGTTATAAAACTAGATTGGTGCTGTAACTGTTTTAGGTTTATAATTCATTACTCAAAATCTATTCAACTTTAAAATTCTATTACAGAATATATTATACTTTATTCAACATTTTTTTCTGGGTTTTCAGCCATCTTGTAATCTGAAACTGGCTATATATGAAAGGCATCACTTGGGTTTATATATATATATATATAGCTGGAATTTTGATTTTGGGAAAATGAAACAGATAGTTATACTAATCAAAGCCTAGGTACTAAATGAACCTTTAAAGGATTCTTCATCACTGATGTGAATTGCAGCTTCTCTGACATATCAATGTCATCTCCACCAATGGTTTTCCACTGAAAATTCCAAACAAAATTGGCCACAAAGTACTCCAAGTGCAAGATTCCTAATGCATAGCCAGGGCACATTCTCCTCCCTGCCCCAAATGGTAACATCTTTATCTCTTTACTTCCCATTATATCAAAAGTTGTGTCTCCATTTTCATCTCCATCATTCTTGAACATGAACCTCTCTGGCTTAAAGGACATTGGGTCATCCCATGCTGTTGGGTCTCTCCCTATCTCTGCCACTATGAAATATACTGTAGCAGATGATGGCACTGAATAACCATTCAAAACAGCATCTTCTGTTACTCTATGAGGAGCCAGAAAGTGTACTGGTGGGTGAAGCCTTAAACCCTCCAGAATCACAGCCTTGAGATATGGCATTTGTTGCAAATCTTCCTCTTTCACTTCCTTATCCTCTCTGTCACCCATCACCCCTTTTATTTCCTCCACAATTCTTTCTTGGATATCTTGGTATTTCACCAAATTTGCCATGATCCACTCCAATGCTGTTGCAGTTGTATCTGTTCCAGCGTTCAAAAACTCTGCGCACAAGGTGCAAATTTTACTGTTATCCAGCTTGCTCCCTTCCTCCAATAGTTCCAAATCCAACAAAGTGTCAACATATGACTCAATATATTTATCTGATTCATTCTTCTCTTTGTCACTATTGCCTACCCTCGCTTTCCTTC